GAATGCAGGGCATTGGGGTCAGCGGAGCCTGCATGGTAGCCTTATTTTCTTCTGGCTAGGTAGCCGCAGCGGGACTTACGCTGCAAAGGTCACCTCATAATGGACAAGAGTCAACTGACTGACCCTTTCCGAGAACCCAGAGGCCAGTCCTGTATCCAATTGAACAGGTTCTCGCTCTGTTTAAACGATCGTGTTCTATCAAAGAGCACCAGCTACTGTGCTGTCGTCCTGTTTGATCTCATCGTTTTTGCATGATCTGGCAAATGCGGGTTAAATGCTCAGTCCTGTATAAGCCGTAATGGCGCGGGTTCTTGTCCAAGCTCAACTGAACTTCTTTCGTTGCGATGCTTTGCTGTAAACTCTCTTTGGTTAGGGGTATTGCTAAGCTTGTCCGACCCATCTGCAAAATCACACAGACCTCTCTCACAAGCCACCCGGAGAAGCCCCTTTAGCTCCTTCAAATTCCGGTTGTTAATTATCACCGAGCAACTGAATGTTTTGGATTGTTTTGGCATATTCGCTCCTACAGCATTTCCCATGATTTCAGTCCCGATGCCATGAAAAAGACGCGAGCGAATGCATTTCCAGCCATTTGTGCCTCTAAGAAGCAGCGGTTTAGATCTTGCTGGAGAAACCTTTGGTGACTGGTCAGCTTCTAACACAAGCTGTGGCCTCACGTCTCTGTAGTGACCGCTCGCGAGTTACTCAGATTGACACACTTCTGAAGCTAAGACATCCATTTGTTTGGGAGCCTTCGTGGTTGGCCATGCTATGACTGGACAGGTGCAAACTTACCGCAAGATGGGACCGGGAATCTCACCAGGAGAAAGAACGCAAAGGTTCGAATCAGAGTTCACTTGTGCAAGCCATTGTCTTGTAGAGATCCCTTTGTACACAGTGCCGTATATACATAAGCCCCTTTAGGTACCTTTCTGACACTCAAGATGTGGAATTCCGCCACAGCAACCCATGCGATTGCAGCCACGTGGCCGCACCCCGCGGCTCACTGCCGGGGGATTGCCTATGGCCAACGTAAGCTCCCCGTCTATCTGCCAGTCCTGCGGTCTAAGCACATTCCTTTTGTTCCATATGATAGTGTAGGAATCATTGAACATGCAACTAATAATTACCAACAAGAGATGCGGGAACCAGCAAGACATGGGTCTTGATAGGGTACTCTAGGAATGTCGGATCCAACTACTCCTCATGGGAGACCATTGTATCCAGGTTAAAACTACCGCTCTTATCTCTGGGCGTCTACCTGAAGACAGTTCGCTCCAGCTGCTCAGATGTACCTATATGCCTACATGTGCCTGCATATGCAAATGAACGGACCTCTGCTAAGATGCGTGTGCACGTATATATATATATATACATGTATAGGTATCTAAATATAGATGTAGATATGCAAACGCACCTGCTCTTTTGTTGGATCTCAATGTCGATACTGCCCAGATGGCGATGGGGAAGCTTACACGGTATTGGCGCAACAGCTACTCCGCCAAACACGCCTTGCCAAAACACCGCCAGAAATCTACTGCCCTTCGAGCGAATGAAATGCTACTGGTGATGAACGTGATGAACGTCACCGCCACCGAGCTTGAGCTGCTCTGAGGCCTTATTTACCATCTTCAGTTCAGACAAGTGGACAAGCTCCTGAAGCCCGGCCCAGAAATACCCAGGGGTTCTTCAATCGTATGCCTTCAGCGTGAAAATCTAGGGCCTATAGGGACCTGCGCTTAGGCTATCGAAAGTTCTAACCTCGCGTACAAAGCGTAGCCAAGAATTTGAGCATACTTCATGGCCAATTGCCCCGGAGTCTTGCGAAGGCTGGCGCAGCTCCGACAAAAGGCGTTGTACCACTTCCACGCCGCTTAGCCTTCCAGATGAATCTATGTTTCATCTTTGTCTTCTTGTCTTGGTGGTGGTGGTGATGAAGGATGTGAGGGCGGGGGCGGAGGCACCAGCTGCAGCGGTAGTGGTGTTGCTTAGTATTACCACTATCATTATGGTGGCAGCGCCCATATATAAACACAACGGCTACGGATGATTATGGTTTTTCTGCACGTGCTATTCGCAGACAACCTCTGGCATTAGTGCATGCAACATGGTCGTATTTTGATGGACCCTGAGTTGGCGGGCAACCATTGGGCGCAGGGTGATAACGAGACGGGCGTTCAGCCTGTTTAGCCTCGATTTGCTCTAGGCGCTCAACAGCCCTCATCCTGCCACTCTCATTACAGGCCGCGAGGCTCATTGCCGTGCACGCCGCCCAGCACGGCCACGCGAGGACGGCCCTCGCCCATGCGCCATACCGAGGGTGCGATCCTTGAAGAAGTAGGGACTAGCTGACTAGCTATCTGTACTCAGAATCGTGTTCCCGAACGCATAGTAGAAGCCGTGCAAGTTAATCCAAAGTCGTAACATTCTATTCCCGTACTCGTGGCCGTATTCCGCATACTTCTGGCTGCAGCACTCAGCAACTGAAGACAATTTCCAGTCCCTATAGCCATAGCAAGCATCATCAAAGCTTTGTTTCGGGACCCCTAAACCCTCAACCCTGAACCCTAACAAACATACAGTACTTTTGAGAAGCCTTTAAGAAACTCTTCAACTTATCCTTCAGCCCTGGCACTCCCGAAGCGCGGCAGCGGCGAAGCCCCGGCCACAGCCAGGGCGTGCCAGGTGGAGGGCTTTAGCAAGGTGGGCGGCCATTGTGATGGTGAGCTATAGGACCCTCAGAAGTGTAGCAAGCGTACTACTTGAACCATACTTGGGGATTATGTTGGGATTACATTGGGATGATATAGGGATAACCAGTGACTCAGTAAAACCGTCCGAAAAATCCGGCCAGTCCAGCCTGGATGGTCCTTGGAGTGGCTGCTAAGCAAGTTACTCTAGGCTTTAGAGTTTAGGGCTTAGCAGGTTGAATAGAAAATGCTTGAATACATGCACTCTTCGTGCTTCGAAGCGGGAAAGGCTGTCAAGTCACATGTCTTGTGCGACTCTTACACGCAAGGGATAAAACCAATTGCAACAAGAAAAGCCGCCAAGGAATTGTATAAAGATCACTGCAGCCGAATCCAGCCAGTGAGCTAAACTAAACTCCCCGACAACGACTCTGTCATAGGGGGGGATCAGGGGAGAGAGCGCAGCAAGCACAAAGCTCAACCAGGCCTCGGACGTCCGCATCCTGCTCCATCCTTGTTTACTCTTGTTCCCCATCCTCCAGTGATTCTGAGGCCCTCGCGGCTGCGCCCCCAACCTTGCAGGCACATGAGGGGATGAAATTGGTGTCTTCTGTTTTGACTTCAGGTGTGTGGGGGCTCCAGAGGTTATGGCGGCACATAATGACATGGTCATTTGGTACCGCCCCAATTTAAACACAGCAGACTGGATAGCTGGTTGCAACGCCAAGTCAAAATCTGGTGGGTCCTGAGGACGAATCCCATAGAATCCCACTGAGAACGGAAGAATCTCGGTGACTGGGATAACTGAAATGGCCTTTGAAGCCTGGGTAGAATCAACTTGAGCCCCGCACCGTGTGCGGATCAAACTGCAGTCCGACAGCTGTCCGGATGCAAGACCAAATACGGTACGACCCTTGAACTTCCGAAGCGGATCTCCTTCAGGCAATTCGCTGCAATTTCTAACCTTTCCTTCATCTATGGCTGCACACATACCGCTGCAGCAATCTAACTCAAATCAACCAGAGCACCACCTTGAACGGGCCTTACCCTTCCAAGAATGCTTGTTGCACGGGGGATTCCTTGAAGCCGGAGAGAATGTCACGCAACATCCTATGCCAAAACCCACGGACCAACTCTGGAATAAAGCAGCCTCGGACTTACCAAGACCCCTGCTGCTGTCTGGGCGTATGCGCCGCGAACGATCTTGGCACGCTCACGTGGGATCTTTTTCGAGGTCTCTTGTGGAGGTTTAGGCAAGGTCTCGGAACTTTACTGGCTCGTTCAAAGGGATTGTTCACGGGGTGTTCTACGACGGTGTGAGCAACACAGGCGCTACAATCACTACCCCATCTCTTCCGTCCCCGCGACATGTTTCTGCGTAGCACAGGCTTCGTGAAGGCTCTGGAACCATCTGGAAGGATCTTCCCAAAAGGCCTGGTTAGTTCGCTTGTTTTTCCATCTGTGGTGGGTGTTGGACCCTACGTGCAATTGATACTCAGTCGCTCTCTCTGGCGCTGCGTCTGTGCGGGGCTGTTGCACGATGTTGCTGAAGGGCGGATCTTTGCAAAAAATTGAGAACTACCGCTACAAGTACAATCTGAACCCAGTGAATTCGTATCCAGCTGATTCTCTGGTCTCTTGGAACCCTGCGTCGCGAACATCGCCAGTTGACTCGGCATACTCGGCACATGCCTGCATGCCGGAATATGTGACTTGAGAATGCCATCGACAACAAAAACCTGTTGCGTGGCACAATGGCAGTCCTCTGACAAAGACAAACGTCAGCTGAACCTGAACCACTGCCATCTGTTCAGGACAAGTAGTAGTGGAGGAACTTGCCGACAATGCGCACCGAATGTAAATAGTAGGCAAGTACGACGGCAAAAAGATCCGGCCCTCGAATGCGTGCATAGATTTGAGAATCCCCTCCCCTAATATTGAACCCCCCCCCAATATTCAATACTCCACAATATGAATATTGGGGGGGCGCGGGGGTGTGTTAGTAGGAGGAGAGGATTAATGCTGATTGGGCGCACTCAGAAACAGGGAAAGACAGAGGCAGGCAGAGAGAGAAAGAGAGAGAGAGCAAGAGAGTGAGTGACAGAAAGACGTAGACAAAAAGACTGTCTTGGTGTCTCAGATTTAGACAATTTGGGGTACAATTTGGCGGATCCTCCCAACAAGGATTATAATATATTGGGTTCTGTATTGGGGTGCCCCTATTTGTGGAAACTGCCATTTCACTACAGAGCCTGTGGAAACCTGTGCGCCCAGACCCTTTAGGCCCAGATTTTGCACCCGCAGCGTGGCTCACTCTTCCGGTTTTGCAGGAGGCCGCTTGCCCTGAAGTATGGCAGCAGCGGTGTCCACCTGCCACAACACGTTTAGGGTTTAGGGGTTACATTGGGGCTTAGGGTCTAGATTGGCGGTGAGGGTTTATCTTAGGGTTGAGGGTTTATCTTAGGATGGAGTTTTATATTAGGCTTTAGGGTTTATGTTAGGGCTAAGGGTTTATCTTAGAGTTGAGGGTTTATCTTAGGGTTGAGGGTTTACATTAGGGTTGAGGGTTTATCTCAGGGTTGAGGGTTTATATTAGGGCTTCTGGTTTATATTAGGGTTGAGGGTTTACCTTAGGGTTTAGGGTTTATATTCGGGCTTAGGGTTTAATTTGAGCGTTTAGGGTTTATATCAGGGTTTAGGGTTTATATTATAGGGGGAATACGATGGTACCGGCATGCACTCAAGAATGACTGAGTACTGAAAAGGCAAGAGGGGCAGAGATGCTAAACAGCGAAAGCAACAATCACATTAACAAGGATGGTCACAGAAAACAATAGTAGCTTCAAAAATAGTATTGGATGTAACTAGAAACTACTCTACTGACTCTTTAACGTCAACTCTAGACAATACCTTGCAACAACTGGCATTGATGATGTCCGCCCTCACATGCAAAGGAACCTGTAGTTGTGATACATGACCCCAACGCGCAGTTACCCTGGGTAAACGGATGCACCTGCATGGCTCGCCCACCCAAATCCTAACCTGCCCCTGACAAATCAACAGAACAAAGGTGCCTCGTCTTCATAGATGGTCTCCTTGGGCAAGTTTCCTTGACAAATTCATCCAGAATTCAGAGAACCCTAACTTCTAAGTAGTAGTTTCCATCTTCTTTTCCATTATCCTATAGAATCCCAATATATACCCAATAGTCCCTACATGGATATAGCCCATTATAGTAGTTTCCATTCACAAACAAGGACCTGACTTGACACTCGCCGCTGGCGCGCCTTGCAACGCTATTGCAGGCTGTCTGCTTTTGTTCTCAATTCCCCATCAAGGCTTGTGCCTTTGCATCCAATGCGCTCAAAAGAAAGCAGCCGGTGCTGTATGCCCAAACCTCAGTTCTACTTGCAGCTATCCCGACAGAACAAGCTGTCGAAGCGGTGGCTGGGGCAGAGTTGCTACGCAGCCTACATTGGGGCCTACATCATGTACGCTTGGTGATCCAAGGTCTCTTTCTCCAAACATCCCCAAATCATCACCCAGGGGCATGATCCTTGTAAGGCCAGGAGTCTGCTCCAACATCGTTGCCCATCTGCCGGCGGATACCTTGACCGTATGGATGTGGCCTAATTACCATGATTGAATCCGCACTGCTTCGAAACTTGCCTGAACTGGCTGAAATTTCCCAGCCTTTCCGCTGCAACAACGAAAGGGCAGAACATGGCACAATTCTTGCCATTCTGGCGCCGCAAATTCAAATGCCCTCGAACCCATCTCTTCCGTAGCCAAAAGAAGGCCAAAGTATGACTTGTGATTTTGAGAGCCGGAAAGTCATCATCTGCCTCCAGCTATGGAAGATGTAGTAGTTTCCCTATAGATACCCCAAAAGACTATAGTCCTTATTATCGAGACCCCCAATAAGGCACCCTTAATTTTGGGAAACCCTACGCCCTAAATAGTAGTTTCCATTTTCTTTTTCCACTATACATAACCCCAATCTAAACCCTATATAAGCCCTATAATAATCCCTATATAATCCCCCTAATTTGGAGCAAACCCTAAACCCTATAAATCCCTATATATCCCTATATACCCCTATATAATCCCCTGAATTTTGGGAAACCTCCCTGTGGGCTCAGGTACATTTGATCCAAGGCCAGCTGCGCGCAGTCCGCAGCTTTGGCAGCCTGGAGCAATTACTGAGGGTTTAGGGTTTAGGGTTTAGGGCTCAGGGTTTAGGGTGTAGGTTTTAGGGTTTAGGGTTTAGTTTAGGGCTCAGGGTTTAGGTTTTAGGGTTTAGGGTTTAGGGTTTAGGTTTTAGGGTTT